ATGTAAACTTCCCTTGGCGCAACTCGAGGCCATTAAAAAAAATAAGGAGTATGTGGAAAGAAAATTGTAATGTGGAGGGGGGAAATTCCAGAAACATTTACCCCATGTGCCATGGCCGAGAATTAATACATACAGTTTTCCTCCAAGCCTTTATTTGATTGGTATAACTACAAAATTGACAAGTTGGCGTACTTGGAAAAAGATGCAAAGTGAGAACTTTAAGAATCAGGCTGAGGATGTAGCTAAGGATGAATATGTATTCTTAAAATGTCCTTCACCGTGACACTTGTAATTTTAACAAAGAAGCTCCAAATGGATGTGTTGAGGCTGTTTGAGACTCGATCATGGCTTTGGGGAACCTTCTGTTTTCAGTAGCACATCTGAAGGGAGGCTGGCAGCTTTCCTTCCCTGTCAGGTGAGGCAGTTGCACAAAGGTACGAGGTGCTGCACCATAAGCTTTCCATTTTATGTCTCCTTGTTTGTAATAGTAAACAGTTAATTAAAAACCCACCTGTTTATTCTCAAGGATATTCAGTGTAACTAACAGAGGAACTAAAATATTTTGGGGATTATGTACTAATTTGAGCAACTCAAATGTTTTAACTAATGCCAAGTATTGTAGTGCAAATAGAATTTTTTCTTCCCAGGGTTTCACATCGATAGTGAAGGAAAGATTGTGTGCTTTTCAGCTGCTCCCCGAGTAAAAGAGAACGTTTCTTAATGTATTGCTTTTGAAATAATCCTCTTCAGTCTGCTCTGTTGTTATGAAGGAAAGTGGTACATAGGAATCTGGATGAAGAGGTGAAAAGATCCTGTTTAGTTCTGCACTGACCTTCCCAATTAAAATTCAGGGATTTGCTAAATGTCATCTTCAAAACATCAGTCAGATGTCTGAGCAGAAGGGGTGCAGAAGGGAGTAGGGGAATGCACTTTTATGTCATTTGATCGTGGACATGATAGAGAATAAGAGTTCAGTCCATCTTTTTAATTGTTAACAGTAGTGCTTAATATTAAATTAAACCTGTTTCAGATTAGTTACTTCTTAAACATTGTTTACTTACCCTTTCTTATTCTCTACTTGGCTGATACGTCCACTTGGCTGACATGTCCTGTGGAATTCCTCAGGAATTACTGTGACAGCAGTCACAGAGCATTTATGCTCTGCCTGCATCAGGTTAGAGGTCAGGCCATAACTCCTTGCTCTTCCCTGAAACAATTCAAGGAAGTTTATTAATTGATGGAAATCAGATGATAACACTCTTGAAGGGTAGTATAAGGAGAGTAGTAGTCAGTCTGAAGAATAGTGTTCCAAGTTTTCAGATGTTTTTCAGAAAAAAAAATAAATTCCCTGCTCTAAATGACCTCTAAAGGTTCCTTCCAATGCAATGCATTCTACGATTCTGTGTAATTCAGATCCATGGGTTATTGCAAGTGTTCCTGTGAGACACTGTCACCCTTAAAATGAAAGTATATTTAACTTTTTAGTAGTACTTTCACCTACCTACTTCCTCCATAACTATTAATTTACTGGGAATAAAGCACAGTAGCTCTCTCCTCACTCTGATGGTTTTATGTTTTTCTTTTTTTATTATTTCATTTTTTGTCCTTAACATTAAGAGAGTCTCTTATTGTAGAACATTTTTTTTTGCGGTATTAGTGCATTATATGATGTAAATTCAGTCTGAAGAATAGCTACTCTCTTTCAAATCTAGCTGGAGACTTTCATAATCTGATAATTACTAGTGCTTTTTTTTTATATATTTTTCTTTGAAATTTGACTGACTCGTGACTTCATAGCCTAACAGTAATTATAAGAAAGCTGTCTTGTGCTCTGCTTAAGTAGTCTCTAGATTTTTAGGAAGATGGAGGAAGAAGCTCTAGATTGTGATCGAACTGTATTAAGCCTTTGAATTTGGTATACAAAGAAATAACACATACTTTCTTTGTGATATATTTTAAAAGGATGGCTATGTAAGCAAGCTTATCAACCTGAAGGTGTAGAAGCAGCTTTAGAGTTTTATTTATTATTTAATCTCAATTAATAACATGAAATCAAGTCTAGAACAAAGTACTAGTGATGTGTCCATGTTTTAAGAGGAACATATGTCTACATTTAATTTTCTCATTTTAGTCGGCCTTGGCACCATAGTATATTGAACGTGTTTAACATAAACTGATTCAGGCCGACTTAAACCGCTTCAAACCGTTAGTACTAACAGCAGTTACTACGACTACGATTGTGCAGCTGCTATACTTACACGTCTTTGCTTTGGCAGAGCTGGTTCTCACTGAGTTAAATCTGAGGGATTAAATGCAGTAACTGCTGTTAGTAGTAATGGAACTTCACTCCCTATATTTATCGTGTTCACAGGGGCGTGCTTTGAAGATAAACTAAGTATCAAGGAAGACTGATTGAACTTCTCTTTCATTATTTGGACAAAATATCTAGAGCTTTTTTTTCTGGAGATCTTTTTGCTTCTGTATTTGGTTATCACAGAATACTTTTTGGTGTTTGTTCATAAGATTGAATTTACTCTATTACAGGAGTAAGACTGGGACTTTTTGATGAAGTGATGTAGTTCTAATGAAGTCGCCATTTGTGTCTCAGTGGAGCCTGAAGGAAGGTTTCATAAGTAATCTTCAATGCAAATGAAAATTTAATTAAAGTACAGGTGTAATAAGTCATTTTTACTGAGATAGTAAAAGAACTGAAAGTATGCAGTGAAGGGATTAAAGCTGCTGGCTGGCTGAGAAACAAAATTGTTGATGAGTTGACTGAAATTTGCAGGTATCGCTGGATATTGCTAAACATATATTGGTTTACATTAGAAGGGAGGAACTTCTATGTTAATTTAAAAATACAAGTTACTTATTCTGACATCAGCACTGTTGTTATTCCTATAGCATCTGTTTGCTAGTCCTTACAATCTCTTGAGAAAGATACCCTCTTATTCCAGTTTGCTCTTAGGGGCTTGACATAATTGTTCTGCTTTCCCTAAGTGCACTGTACATCCTAAAATGCAAGGAAGCAAGGAGTTGTGGTTTGTTTTTTTTTTTAATTGTTGTATTTGTGGTACACTGCGTACTAGTTGAACTTTTCAATGTTAAGCTTGATATTTTCTAAAAGGCCTTTTGATACTAACTGTAACTATGTAGATAATTGGAATTCTAGACTCAGGGTCTGCTTTTTTAGTATCTTTTTGTTACTTTGGGCAAATAGAAACTGTATTACGCTGTGTCCTAACCTGTAAAAAATGTAACTAAAGGAAGTGGATAACTAGTCTTTGTAAATGAATGCTGAATTCTTAAAAACTTACGCTTCTGTGTTGAAAAAGGTTAGTGTAAGAAAAAATGTATGAAACTTAGAAAATTGGATTCTTCTATCTGGTTCTAAAATTAAGATAAGGAAATTATTATATTGCACTGCTAGATATTGTACTGAATATTAACTTCTTTTTAACTGTGGGGTTTTTTTTTTCATTTGCTATACTAATATTATGGTGCTGAGAAAATTCTGTGAGCGTTGCAGCGTGCCATCGTCCCCTTCTGCTAATAGTGAAGTTTAGTGGTACCCTCTTACCTAAAATAGAACAATGGAGATCTCGGAGAAGAGGAGGAGGAGACAAGAGAGAATAAGCTCACTTCAAATTATTCACCAGTCAGTCATTAAAAAGCATTAATGATTAACAAAGAGCAGTTGCTCATTATTCAGATGAAGACTGGAAGTGTAGCCAAGATGAGCTGTGAATGTTTCTCACTGGCTTTAGTAACGTTTTCAACTTTGTGAATGATCATTAATATTTTTTTGTGAAAGAAGAGGGAGGCAAGGACAAATATAACTCTGACACATGTACTGGTTCCTCTTTTAGAAGGGTGTTATTCTTGCCTCCATAATGCTACTGTAGACGCCTTTAGATACACTACTGCACCTGCATCTTTGTGTTCCACGCCTGGCTTTCCATTAATCCTTCTGTGGTATCTAACAATCGTTTGGTGTTTTTTTGATACATCAAGATTCTTTGATTCAGGTAGGTGTAATTTTTTTCCTGAGGTACCATCAGTTCCACAGCATTTTTAGTATCTTTATGAATCACTGTAATACGAAACAAACAAAGTAAGTGGTAAATTCTAAGAACATTGGTTAGAAAAGCAACTAGTGGGGAATTTGAGAAGTCTGAGTGTGGACAAAACACCAATGTATAAAAGACTTGGACCAATATACTGATTTTCCTAAAGGGTTTGTGCCTGTGAGATTCTTTAGTGCAAAAGGATCCTTTTCTTTTAAAAGTATTAATCTGAAAGAGGGACTGTCAGGTAGGAACTCCAGAAATCTGTTACACGGAACAAGCAGTGCTTTGTGGTCATTGGTGTTTTGTCTGTGAGGCTGTGAAAACTGTGGTGATTGTGGCAGTGTGTGCTTTAATGGGTAGGATATTTTGAAGGGAGGGGAGATTTAGGAGGAAGTAAGCATGTTTTGCCCTTATCGTGCTGTAAGGTTTTGGCCTGTGTAACACAAGTACACTACGAGCTGTGTATAATAAAGGCCAGCATTGTAGTAGTTTTGCTTCTAGCCTATCCCATACTGGGGCATTTCTTTTCCATGTCAAAATTGCAAATGATGAATCGTGGCAATTCTGCTCCTGATACAGGCTTGGAGATTCCCTCCAGGGGCAAAGACAGCTCTAGGAGCAGCCTGTCTTCAAGGCACGTGGGAGGGACTGCAGGTATTCCTTCTGTAGCATTGCTTTGGTGATAATTTAAAAACAACAACAAACAAAGTTGTCTTTTATTTTTCTTAGAATAAATATAGCCACTCTTGGTTCTACTTTTTGTCAATTTTCTGAGGGTGGCCTGAAGAACAGTTTTGTTTCTTCTCAGAAACTGCAGGAACATGCTTTCCGACCGGTATGATGGCAGCTTTCCTTCTGAGGTCGTCTTACGGAAGTCTGGAACCCTGAATTCCTTTTCGGATGTTGGTGAAGTCCAAGCCAACATGGTCCATGATCAGGGACCTTACCAGCAAAACCAAGCAAATTGTCACAAAACTTCTTTCTGAATTGTTGTGTGAGGAAGGACTAGGATTGCAAGTTGAAAGTGAAGTGGTGGTTTCGGTAAAACAACCCTTGGTAACTGTGTCCTCTGAATCCCAGTGGTATGTGATGAAGGACTGCAAAGCTTAAAGTACTGCTTCTCTTGTTGCGGAGTGTTCTGAAAACACGGATGGAGCTTGTGTGAGGAGTAAGCTGTGTGTTTTAGATGAGGGTTGAGACATTACTCTGTAGTTCTCCTCTGTATTTTTAAACAATTGCCAAGTTCCTTATTCTTGGTGATTGCATATTGACAGACTTACAAAGCAGGATGTCACGATGGCCCTTCATTTCCATTTTGGTTCTTCCTCCCTTGGGATAGCATATTGTTTTCTGCTTCCTATTGGGAAAACTGTATTCCATAGAAGAGATTTTAAAAAAAGAAAAATACAAATATTTGTGTGTGTTTTTCCTGATGAGGCTCCAGTAAACAGTGCCATTTCTGTGGCAACACTTGTGCTAATCCTGTTCATTCAGGAAGAATTGCTTCCTCGAGGACATGCTGTAGCGTAAGGAACTGATCAGCCTCAGGTTGTCACTGCTGTGGCGAATATCTGTGAAAGATGTCTCATGGATAGCCCTGAGTGAAAATTCAAAGATGATGGAGTTTTGGGGTTTTTTTGTTTGTTTGTTTTGGTTTTTTTAAGTAACTGTTCTGAAACACTTTTTTTAACATTTAGTTTTGTCAGTGTTTCTGATGAGAATTCCCGAGTATTTGTAACACTCAAGATAAGTTATGACTGATGGATCATTGAAATAGATTGATATTCCATTGATTGACCTTTGACATCTTTGGGGAAAGGTGGGGGAAATATTCCATGAGTATTTTCATTCTAAAATTAATACTATTCAGGGTGGTGTTATTACTTCAAATACTCCAGTTGCTGAAGTGCATAGAGGTTAAACATCACTGAATATAATTTGTATATGCCCATGATTTCAATTCCAGTCATGTGATTGTGTAACTTCATCACAAACAGCCATAAACTGAGTTTCAGTTTCTCTTGTGTTCTGTATAGGCATCTCTCTCTCATATCTCTGAGAAGTAATTTTAATATCTTTCTTCTCAAAAAATATAATTGTTAAATGTTGTGCTTTGTGTGATTTTTTCGTAGCACTGTGAAACAGTATGACTTTGTATGATGCGTGCTGCTTTTGCTAGTGTTGCTTTTACATGCAGACACTGTTAACCTTTCGTAGCTGAAAGATTTACAATGTGTACCGTGGTGTGTAACAGTGACTGTTGGGGAGCTTTCTATTAGAAGTTTTGCTACTAAAAATCAATTCATCTGGAAGCTGAACCTTGTAGTACTTATCACCTGCTGCAGCTCACTTTGGTCAGGGAATTTTTTTTATTGTTTCTTGCATATTTATGTTAGGATGCAATTAGTGGAAGTGTGTGAATGGGAGTTATCTGTCAAAATACTTTTTTACATGGAGATTATTCTTTTTACAGCTGTATGCTTTAAGTAAGCTTTGCTGCATGTCGACTTGATATTGTCAGAAGATTAAATCTGGAGGAATAAAAGCTAGAAAATACATTATTTTGAGATGTGGCACAGAAGCTATTTTTGCTCATATTTTGGTTATATATCACAACCTGATGATTGCCCAGATTAGAAGTTTTAACTTTTTAAAATTTAAGCCCATACATATTTAGAATCTACTCAAATTTATTTATACTTTATTAAAAGAAACTGCTACAGAATTACATCTGAAGGCAATAAGATCCACTTGTGAATTATTGATGAGTATAATTGTACTGGCAATGAAGTAGTAGTTCTTGTTGTATACACACAGAGTAATTGCCAGACATGCATGTAGTACTTCTGTGGAATCCGTCCACAGTCCTCCACGTGTGGCCTTACCAGGACTCTGCGTAGAAGACAAGGACCGTCTCCCTCAGCCTGGCAACACTGCTCCTAATGCAGACCCAGATACCACGAGGTGCGTGTATCTTGCCTGGCATACATGAGTGTGCCTAAGCCCTGATTTGGATGTGGATGTGCGAGATGAGGCTCTGAATCAGCTTGAAGTGATGATTGATGCTGGTGTTTCTAATTGAAATTCCTCTTGCTCTTTTATACAGATCAAATCAAATGACAGCACAACCCATTCCAGCTTTGTCTTATGTAAAAACATGCTATGTTTCATCATCCAGATCACTAATGACAGTAGAAATTGGTAATGAAATTAGAAGTGACCCCACCAGGGAACTGTGGGCTTTTATGTGCCTCCTGTTTTAGCTGTAGAATGCTATTTTTAAATCCTACCTAGGCACCTTCAATTATACAATCCTGAGCTCAGGTTGATCTGGCAAGTATAGCTGCGCGACATCCATGCTGACTGTATAAAATACCATGGTCCCTCAGTGTTGGTGGTTGTTTCTGCTGAGCTTTAAATTTTCTCTTCCATGTTTTTCTTCTAAATTGCTCTTTTTTGTAGAACTAATTCTGTTATAGTTGTTTCTTACTGTCTGTCACATGAGATAAAATACCTGACTGTGAGAGTGACTCCAATCTGTTTTATCTGAGACTGTAAATAGCTAAGAAGCAAAAGGAAAAGCTTCTTATACTGCATCTCATCCGTAACTGCCCGTGTTAATTCTTCCTTTCTGTCCTAGTGCAAACTTGAGCAGACTAGCTGTATATCACTGATGAAAAAGCTAAGCCCAACCCTTTTTTCCTTTGCACTGAAACAGATTGGAAGCTCTGCTACAATCAGTGGTCATCAATCGGCTCATCGTGTGCTCAGGTTTGGGACCGAAACCTTGCTCTGTTCTCTAATTATTTTTTTAAAATTATTATTCTTTTTTCCTTTGTGGCCCTTTTCCCATAATGTGTTCTAAAGTGGTGGTGGATGTGTAAATACAGACTTGAGACTGACCCTGTATGTGTGCCCTGAGCACAAACAATCGTGTCTTCCCCTTCTGTGTAATTCATGTGTTTGTGTTGGAAGCTGTGCTGAAGCTAAGCAGTGTCCGTTAAGCCAATTAGTTTATCAGAGAAGGGCACTAGTGTTAGAGCGGTTGGATCCAACAGTTTAGACTTTGTTCTGATGTTGCCTCTACTTCTGTAATTATTTTTGTGCCAACATAACTAATTCTTAGTGAGCCATGGTCTTGTTAGATTTGTGAAAAAGTGTTTGTTATGATACTATGGCAAAGATAGTGGAAGATGAATTCCCTAAGAAAATGTGTATTTTGTGAAAAGCAAATGTAGCTGTTCCTAAGAGTTTATAAGTCCCTTTTACCTACTGGTAAGATTTAAATAACTTGGAACATGTGTAAGGTTTGGTGACGTAAAAACTAGTTGCTTGCATCGGACAGATTAGTTTTTTTATAGTTTTTTTATGTGTATATATATATATATACACACACGCAGACACTTCCCTCTCTCAGGGTTGTTGATCACTGCCCCACTTGCCAAGAACTTACAGAAGAGTAGGAGCTGAAACTACATAGACAGTTGTGAAAATGTAGTTTGCTGTTCAATGGTTTGACAAGAATTTGAAGCAAAGGGTGATGCTGTTAACCAGTGTTGTTGTCTTCTTATAAAGAAGTAGCTATATTGTTCATTCTAGGATAATTAGTCTGACATTGTAGGAAAGTGTCTTAAATTACTGAGCACGTCTGTTAATTGAGTTCTTTTATTCAGGTGCTTTTACCTGCTTAGCAATGCTTGAGTTTTAGGTTTTTATAAATGCTTCAAGCTTCACTGCACAATTTCAGTTGTACTTAACTTCAGTTTTCGTTGTCCTCTTTTATGTAGAAGTTAGATTTGCTTAAATATATATCATAACGAAACATGGGAGTGTTCAGCTGTATAATTTTTTTGTCTGTCTGAAAATTATGGCTAAATATAAACAGTATTTTTTAATAAGTAGTTTAAGGTGCTGGTAAACTATATTAGGTATGGATGACATTGTGAAACTGTTCCTTGATAGTAAATATTTGATTTTCCAAGATACATTTTATATCCTGTTACTGCATTATTTAAAGACACTATCAGTCTCAGTAGGACTTTATAATAAGCCTGCCAAGCAGCTGCCAAGTGCAGATAGCCAACATTTACATTCAGTGTTGTGTGATGGTAGCTGTGACATGATTCCAATTAAAAGCTTGGTCTGCACACTGCAGATGTCTTCTGAATATTAATGTGTACTACAGACAGAGCAGATGGAATCTCTTTAAAGTACAATGCAGTGAATGTAAAATTAAGGTTGGGTTTCTAGTGGAAACTGAGAGGGAGTCAAAATTATTCTTTTTTCCTTAGTTTTTCCTTGCTAAGACACAAGAATATCTGTGTATCATCATCATTTTTCTTTACATAAAGAAGGAAATCTACTCTTCCTTATGCATCTGAATTAAAGTACACCATTGTGTGCTATTGAAGTTGTCTTGAATGTCAAATGTACCTAGAAAAATATTACGAATGCGTGCAGCATTTGCTGTGCCTTAAAATATACAAGATCTACCTAAAGAACAGATATGAGGCAATAGATAATAGGTGGAATGTAGGATGTCTGTGAGTTATTTGAGGAGCTGTTTGTTGAGAAAGGCTGTGTAAAAGTATCTCTAGGTGTGTGTATTTAATTTGGATTTGAAGACATTATGTGAGGTGTTTTAGGAAAAGTTCATGCTGGATAGGAGGGGTAGTATAAAACAGTGACGAGCCCATCATTGGTGTGGTGCAATGTAATGTGTTGCAGCCCCAAAGTGAACTGTCATAAACCAGCAGCAATCCAGCTACCTAAGTGTGGATTAATTACTTTGGTGTTTACCAATCTTCTATGGCACACATTCGAGAGAGGAGTGAAGCCTTGATAGGAGGAATATATAGTCTTAGAAATAACAGTGGTACTGAAATAAGTGTGATACTGAAGCTGGAAGTAGAAGGGCTTCGGTGTGAGTGAGAATCGTAACTTTGCTCATTGCTGCTGCCGTTGTCTTACCCTCTCGGGCAGAATGCAGGCACGTGGGAGGGGAGAGAGTGGTTGTGTTGTGCAGGGGGCAGAGGTTATAGAAAAGGCAGTGACAGGAGATGCCACATGTGTAAATCCAGTACGGTGTTTAACTTGCTAGTGTTACTAGCATAGCTTGTACCTGAGGCTGTGTAAACACTGAACCCAGTGATGTTATTTTCCACTTCATCCACATTACTGTAACAGAGATTTCCCCCCAGATCTGCGTTTGGATTGTGTTTGGCTGTTGCAGTCACATTGGCTAATACTGCTCTCAAAGCTAGCGGCCTAGCTGTAAAGAGGAGGATCCTGGCTTCAGCAAGGGTACTTTTTTTAGGTATGTACGCTTACTTCCAGAGAAGTTGGCTGTGTGCTGTTCCTGAGAACAACACTCATTTGATAAGAGCGTTTTTAAATCCTTGACCACAGTGAGACTGAGAGCAGATTTGCCCATGAAGTCTGGGAGAGGACGGCAGGGACCAGCTACTGTCAGAGTGAGGGAGAGCTGTGTCTGGACCCCACTCAAACTGATCTGGGTGCTGATGTCCCATTCCACATGCGTGGGTGCCACTTCCCTTCAGAAGTGTAGAAATTGCCTGGTGAATCTGACTTACTTGTCGTGAGAGGCCTTCAGTGGATTGTTGCTCTCATTAAAGTTTTCATAGTCTATACAGTTCATTAATCTGTGAAAAGAGGTTTATGGAAGAGATGGAATTGGAAATAATAAAATTAGCTTACAAGACATAGTTAAATGATATTTTTTTGTGACCCATTTAGAAGTTATCTCCAGGAATTCCAAGTATGTTTGGTGAGTCTCAGCTTTCCAAGTAAGCCAAAAGAGGCTTAAGTGTTGTTAATTTGTAACACACAGCAATGACTTTGCACTTTATAACCAATTAAAAGAAGAAAATCTGGTAAAAACGTCTTTAGGGTTTGATGTTTTAAAAGGTCCGGAGATGTGAACTTGAGTCTTCTAAGTGTCTTAGAGATCAAAGCCATTGTATAAAACCAAACAGTTGAAATAGAGAAGTGTTGCTTTAAAGAACAATACTTGGCAGTCAAACATTGCTTTGAACAGCGGTCTGATATATCTATGATTTCTGGCGGGATAGGATTCTGTTAAACAATGAGGTGAAGTTTGAAAGCAGAACTGGTCAGATAGAAAGGAAGAGTCAAGAGGCTTGGAAAAGGCAGAGGCCGGCCTTCCTTTGCCACTGCTCCTCGGCGTGAGGGGGAGCTCCCTGGGATTCTTGCTGGTTGGGAAATGTCTCATGGTTCCCTACGGAAGATCTAACTGTCTTCTCCTGTGTGAAGCATTTGTTTTGAGGAACCTTGCAGTTATTTCTCCTTGATGTTTCTGTTTTTCTGTAGTTTCATATGCATCTTTGACCCTTTTTTGGGGCTTTTTCGTTGTCAGAGAATCCCTATGAAAGTAATTTCCAAATATGTTCAGGATCTTTCCTTTTGTCATCTGCCTAATGTTGGGTTTGTATGACTAATGTCATTCTGGCTCTTAAAACTTCTGTGATACTACTCATGTGGCTCCTTTGCTTCCCTGTCTCTGAAATACCTTCCTCTTTAAGCTGACTTCCAAAGCCCAAGCAAATTTTCTCTTTTTCACTTACTCTGTCTTGCTTTGCTTTACCCTCCAGTGTCTTCCCTTTTCTGACAGTACTTTGAAGATTTGTCAGTTGCTTCTTAACTCCCCTAGTTCTTTGCAGCATCATCCCTTTTGTGTTCACTGTGCAATTTTATCTTTCTAATCCTTGAAAAAAATTCCCAAGTCTTCCATTTCAGACCCTGACAATCTCCATGGTAGTATCAGCATATAGTTATATCTTTAATCACTGTGAAATGTGTCCTTTCAGCTGAGATTGTACCAAGGCTGGGAATTTGTCTAACTTTGTGCCTGTAAAGCAAATGCCTGTGTTATTGCTATCCCTTTGATCTTCATAATATAGATTACTCTCATAAAAAAAAAAAAGTGCTGTGTTTGGCTAGATCTCTGAGACACGTCAGCAAGAAATACGAGATGGTCGTGCCGTCGCAATGTCGGATAATACGGAGTGCTGCCTGATAGGTGTTCATTCTCCCGTGCTTGGGCTTCAGTCAGGCTGTATTACCTCCTAAATTCTGAGAGCAGGGTTTGTTGTGTAACAGGGTCACCGTCCTTTTTTTTCTGTTGAATTAATATCTGCTGAGAAACATCATCAAAACTGTAG